AGAAGTCATACCAAGGCCAGAGTGAAAGTAACAGTATATTCTATACAGAAGGAATGGACAATACATAGTAGTAAATTGACTGTCAGACGACCGCACAACCGCAAGCCAGCAGACGGTGTCTGAAGTGATGTCCGCTCGACAGTTGTCACATGAGGTCCTGTGTGAATAGGCCTTTGACTGGCTATTCCAGAGTTCGAAGGCTGTAAGGGTTCACAAGTGTGCGTTCGATTGGAACTAGTAACGACAGACCTTCACAAGTGTGCTTCGAGTCGAGTTATTCAATACCCAAGTACCTAGTGCCTTGTCAGTACTCTATAGTTTACTTGAAACGTTAAGACGCTTTATATCCGTCTTTTCGTTTGATGTTGACTTCTGCTGGACGGCAATGCGCATTTGAATAGGTTAGGTCAGGTAGTCAGTGTATTTGAAGAAAAATAGACAGTTGAATTGTCACATTGTCAAGCTATTGTAGACTCTAACCTCGTGCATTGGTGTTTTTGTGATTATTTATTCCACTTCCCGGGTTGAAGGGACGTCCCGGAGATTAGTTATGTGGCAACTTGAAAAAAAAACTAGTCATACAGGAGGGTGCGGTCCAAGCCACGCACGATATGGAAGGTCTGCATCGAATCCCCGCGTAATTGTCAGCTGCGAAATAAGCAGGCTCCCGGGTCTGACGAGTAAGCAGTCGCGGACAGAGCAGCGACAGAGTTACCAGGGCGCGGAGGGCTGGGTTCTGGCGCACCGGCTGCCTTATAAAATGTCCCAATGACGGAAGTGTGATATGGAGAGCGTGAATGTCATTTAATAGTCTGGCTTTCCAGCGCTGCCTTGCAGTTAGGTTCTTGAGCCGAAATGTTAGAGGCAACAACCTCCAACGAAGAATCCGAGCAGCTGTTCGGGATCCGCCTGCATTCAACATCCCTAAGATACCTCATGCAAAAATGCCCACGCAAAGTATTACGATCACTGCTACGGCGTCCACGCGCTCCGCAACCCTTGTCCAGAGGTGCGGGCAAATAGTATGCTAGGTGGACTACTCAACCGGAAACGGACTCCTGGTATTGGATACTGAAATGTGCTAACACTTCTGGAACCTGGAACTCAAAGTCTGACGACGCGCAGTCTCCATCCATATTACGTGGTGCCTCTCCGAATTCAGACTCCCCGACTGCCGCCTGAGAAATAACATCCCGAAGAGTCGATTCTCACTTCACCCTGTGTCATAGTCGCCTCCGTGACCCATCTGGTAGACACGGTATGGCTTTTGCACTCTCGGGCGCAAACTGTGCACTACT